TATAAGGGAAAGATGTTGGAGTCAGGGGAGATTACTGATTGCAAGGGCTGTTGGAGCAGTTGTATCAGTAATTTCAATTTACTTTTGACTCTGCAGACTGCTAATTAGGGCATGCACTTGGATGAGGGGCTAGTGTCAGTTTAAGTTTGCTATTCTTTGAATGGACCGGTTGTGCTCTTGCCTCAATGCTTTGCACTTGCTATGGGGTCCTGTGGCTTGGAAAACTCTTCCCTGAGAGCTCCATGACTCTCCCTTCCTTTAAGTTTCTTTTCAAATACCACCTTTAAAGACAGTCATCTGTTAATTATTGCATAGGAAAATACAGCCTTCCTGTTACTCCCCTGTTCTCCAACACTAGGCATCTGCTACTCTAGTTTATTGTCCTTATACATACGGCCAATTAAGCTACTATATATTAACTTACATATCATTTATTTTCAGTATTCATAAACTAGAATGTTGATTCCATGAAGGCAGCCACTTGATTTATTTTGTTAGTTGCAGTATCCCTAGTCCCTAAGATAGTCCTTGTCATATAATAAGTGCTCAATAAATACTTATGGAATATAGATATGGGTATTTGGGGGGGTTATTTATTTTGGTGGGTACTCTTTCAGTTTGAGGAATCTCTTTCTAAAACATTCTCAGCAATTGCCTCCTAAAAATACTGCTTTATCTTTTATCCCACTGTTACCCACTTCTGGAATTCTTTAGGCATATGTTGGATTATCCCAGTAAAACCTACATGTCTTAACTGTGCTTTCATATTTTTAATCTCATCGTTTCTTTATGCAGTATTCTGGATGAGTCCCTCGTTGCTATCCTCTGTTTCACTAATTCTCTTTTTGCACCTATTTTGAGCTTAGCCCATTTAATTGTTTTTGATTCCTTGATTATAAATTTTATTTCCAAGATTTTTAATAGATTTTTAGATATGCCTGTTCTTATTTTATTTCTTATTTTTGTCTTTAATTTTAATCATTCTTTTATGTCTTTGAAGTTCTTGTTTTAAAATCTTCACTTTGTCTGTTTTCATTTTACCTAGATTGCTTCTTTGGATTACTGAGTTAGTGTATGTTTTATATATTTATGTAGAGCATGTGTTTTCTTCATGTGTTTTGGAGTTTTTTTGTTTGTGGTCACATCTTGTGTGGGATGGTTGCTGTTACTGTTCTCGTCTTCTTTCCCACTACCCCTCTTTTTCTAATGCTTTTTTCTCCAGAAATTTTGTGCTTTTCACTAAATTGTCACCCTCACCCCAATCCTCCATCCTGAAATAGGTTATATATTGGTAGTTTGAGGCTCTTATCCTACAGTGACACAGAGAATTTACTATACTTAATACATGAGCTATGGGGTGCTTTGGCTCAGTTCATTATTGGGATGCTGTATCTATAAACTTTTGCCTTTCTGGATTTTCATGTAAGCGTTAGTTGCAGGTAAGGATGGTTGGAAATTTTTTCCAGGCTTCTTTCTGGAGATGACGAGTCCCATCCCAGTCTCTCATTTCAAACGATGCACTTGGCTGTGCTTCCACTTATTTAGCAGGACACTTCTATTCTCTATTATCCCCAGAAGCCAACTTCCTTTCCACCTTAGCCTGCATCTGGATCTGGACAGTGAACAGCAGCTTCATCCCCATTCATATTACTGTATTTCTGTTTAGTTTGTGATCCTCAGAGATGTGGCTCTGTTTCCTTAATTTTTTTCCTTTATGTTCTTCTATTAATACTATAAATTTAGAGAATAGAGAAGAGCCTCAAAGAGTGAACTTAGTTTGCTAACTTTTTGGAAGTCTACTTAAAAAAATTTTAATATACTGTTATGCCATCTCAATTTATCCCCTTTAGTAGTATGCTTTTCTTTATTTTTAAATTGAAATACACTTGATGTATAATATATTTGTTTCAAGTGAACTACATGGTGATTTGACATTTACATACATTATGGAATGATCATCATCATAAATCTAGTAACCAACTATCCCCATACAAAGTTACTATGCTCTTATTGACCATATTTTTTATGCTGTATGTTATATCCCTTATTTTATAACAGGCGTTTTGAACCTCTAATCCACTTTATCTTCCCTCTTCTCTGGCAACTACCTGTTTGTTCTCTGTATCTATGAGTCTGCTTCTGTCTTTTTTTGTTGTTGTTTTTTTCCCCCTGTTTTTCAGATACTATATATAAGCGAGATTATATATTTGTCTTTCTCTGACTTAGTTTGCTTAGCATAATTCCTGCTAGATCCATCCAAATTGTTACAAGTGGCAAGATTTCATGTTTTTCCTGAGAAATATGCCATTTTGTGTATATACCATATCTTCATTTCCTTTCATCTATTGATGGGCACTTAGGTGGTTTTCCACATCTTGGCTATAGTAAATAATGCTACAGTGATCATTTGGTATGTGCTTATATCTTTTTAAATAAACACTTCTGTTTGTTTGTTTGTTTTCTTTGGGTAAATAACCAGAAGTGAAATTGCTGGATCTTTATGGAAATACTGTTCTAATTTTTTTTTAAGGAAACTTTACAGTTTTTATCTGAATGATAGCCTTGCCAGATAGAGTATTCTTGGTTGTCAATTTTTTCCTTTCATCACTTTAAATATATTGTCTAACTCCCTTCTGGCTTGTAGAGTTTCTGCTGAAGAGTCAACTGATAGCTTTACGGGAGTCCGCTTGTATGTAACTAGTTGCTCTTCTCTTGCTGCTTTTAAGAGTCTCTCTTTATTTTTGCCATCTTACTTGTAATGTGTCTTGATGTGGACCTCACTAGGTTTATCTTATTTGGTAGTTTCTGTGATTCCTGGCCTTGGATGTCTGTTTCCTTCCCCAGATTAAGGAAGTTTTCAGATATTATTTCTTCAAATAAGTTCTCTGTTACTTTCTCTCTCTCTTTTCCTCTGTGACTCATATATGCCAATGTTAGTATGCCTGATGTTGTTCCAGAGGTCTCTTAAACTATTTTCTTTTTTGAACATTCTTTTTTCTGTTCTGCTTGGGAGATTTCTACTCTTCTGTCTTCCAGATTCCTGGTCCATTACTCTGTATCACCTAACTCCTTCTGTTGTGTTTTTTTTTATTTCAGTTATTGTATTTTTCAGCACTCTTTGGTTTTTCTTTATATGTTTTAACTCTTTTTGAAATTTTCACTGTGTTCATCTAGTTTTCTCCCAAGTTCAGTAAGCCTCTTTATGATCATTATCTTGAACTCTTTTTGACGAAGATTGCTTATCTCCACTTTGTCTAATTCTTTTTTTCTGAGGTTTTAACTTGTTTCTTTGTTTGGGACACATTTCTCTGTCTCCTCATTTTTGCCCAGTTCTCCATGTTTATTTCTATGTGTTAGGTCAGCCAGTTACATTTTCCAGTTTTGGGGAAGTAGCCTTATGTAGGAGACATTCCTTGGGGTTCAGTAGCACACCCCTCTCTGATCATACAGCTGTATGCCATAGGGGTTCTCCTCATGTAGTCAGCATGAACCGTTCTTTTGTGACACTGTGGGTGTGTTGTTAGGTGGAGCTGGCCCTGGCCCAATTGGCTGTGGGGCTCTGCCTTGTCCAGTGTGGCTGTGGACCTGCTGGAGAGCAGGGCAGGCTTCTGTGTCATTGGCTGTACACTGGGTCCCTACATGGATGTCTGCACAGCCTGGAGTGATTTGGGGCTGGTGCTAGCCCCCTGGTGGGTGAGTAATCCCCTGGTGCTAACAGGGTAGAGGAGGGATTTCAAAATGGCTGATATTATCACAGTACAATGAGCCTACCAAAATGGCTGCTGCCAGCATCTCTCTCCCCAAGGGGGATCCTGATTGCTTCTTGCCTCTCTAGGAGGCTTACTAAGACCAGCAAGTGGATCTCATCTAGGCTCCTTTCATACAGCTGCATCTGCACTGGGACTTGGACTGTTTGAGATTTTGTGCACACTCTTTAAGGGTTGAATCCCTGTTTCCTACAGCTCTCTGGCTCTCCTGCACATGAGCACCATTGGTTTTCAAAGGCAGATGTACTATGGTCTCATTTTCTTGGTGTAGGATATCCAGGCTGGAGAGCGTGATGTGTGGCACATACACCTTGCTTCTTGGGGAGGACCTCTGCAGTTATGCTTATCTTCCCATTTGGGGGCCACTGATCTGGGTATATACCTCCTGACTATATTTTATCTCCACCCCTCCTAACTGTCTTATTGTGATCTCTTCCTGTCTTTATTTGTGTAATATCCTTTCTACTAGTCTTCAGTTTGTTCTCATGAATAGTTGCTCTGTAAGTAGTTGTATTTTTTGTGTTGTCCATGGAGGGAGATAAGTTCAAGGTCTTCCTATTCCACCGTCTTGGTCACCGGCAGTGGTATGCTTTTCTGATTGGTATCTCTTAATTCTAATGTCCCGTTGTGCCTTTTAAAGCCCTTTGCTTCATTTCACTTTCTCAAGTGAGGATTCCTTTTTTTCTTCCAACCTGTACACTTTGTGATTTGTGTGATTTTATAAAGATTTTTATTTATTTTACCTATTTTTAAAGTTTTTAAAAAATGTAAACGGGTTTCCTTAAATTTCTCCCCATTTATTTAATGTTGGATATTCGTAAATCTCTAGCTGTCTCTTTTTTGAGTGTTTTACTTAAAAATGATAAGTATTGTATTCTTATTGTAATTGCATATGTACAATGTTTATATTAACAGGAGCATATTTATATATTCATTAATTATTTTAAATTTATGATATAATGTTTATTGCAATCAAGATAAAATGTGTTTTAAATATTTTTTTATCATGCATCTAAATTTGAAAACTAAACTTTTTTTGTATAAAGTTATCTTAGTTGTCAGCAGTTGTAAGTTTTTGTCACTTGCCATATGGTTTCTGATTAATTCTGAAAGGGCTGTCAACCCCAGATAATTTAATTTTCTGTATTTTAAAGTGACACTCATTATCAGGATATAAAAATTTAAAGAATTGGCTACCAATTATGACTCATAAACTCTGTGTTTTTTTTGTAGAGAAAAACAGAAATCCGAAGCTAAAGACAGAAAAGTTTTAGAAATTCTGCAAGTCAAGGATGCTAAAATACAAGAATTGGAACAGGTTGGTGTTATAACAGAAAATACTAAAATCATAATACTTCTTTCAGCTAATAGGTCTTTATAATTATTTTTAATTTTTTGCAATAATGTTCATAAAGAATATCAAGGTCATTATGTCAAACCATTTCTATAGTCAGGTTACTACTTTAGTCAGATTATTCTTCTTCAGTTTCTGAATTAATAGTCTTTGTTATCTATCAATTTAAACTCTTAAGATGATGTTATAATTTCATAGTAGTAACTATCACTCACTCATTTTTAACTAAAATTTGCTTTTTATTTTTGGCAGTTATCATTCAATTCTGAAACATAAATTTTTAGATGGTTTCATTTGTAGAAAAGATTAACAACAACCAGGATGATTATATTGGTCTTCTGAAAACTTGCCTTTTTGCATTATACAATCCTATCTTTTACATATAATCAGTAAATTATATGATTACATTTGACTATGTATTTTAAATTGTATATAATTATATAATCAGTACATTATCACTGCAAAAATCCATATGGCCATTGCTTCCATGAATCATTTTAAAGGTATTAGAATCTTAAAAATAAGGGTGAAAGAGTTTTATTTTAAGAATAGCCTATATCATGATACAATATTTAAGTTCATATTATACCCAGTTGCTTATTATAGAATAAATGACCTTAAATTTTTCTAGATTAAATGGAGGTTCTTTTTGGCAGCTGTGCTCTTCCAACTTCTAACTCTATTTTCCTTCCTAGCCTATTCAATGATAATGAGAACTTTCATTCAAAGTTGCTGAGTTGCTTTATTAAAGAACTAAAAGTGGGTGTTAACTTATATAAAAGATTCAGTTATTTTTTCATTCTCTAAATCCATATAAACTCTTTCTAAAATTGAATGTAGATTTCTATATGACATGTAAATTTGAGATTTATGCTTTTTCCAGCATTGTATTTTCCCTATAGAAAATGTCATAATTGGTGCTATAATGATAGAATTTTAGAAATAATTTTTAAGTCAGTTTGTTTTGGAAAAAGTTGTATATGCCACTCTAATATCAAGGAATATCAAAATGAATTCTAAGATAGATAAATATTATAATGTGCCTAGTATATTAATTTGTCTAGGTTCAGCTGCCTAATAGATAAAACCTTATGACTAAGAAGTGACAAACATCATTTGTGCTCACATTTCATTGGGGAAAACTAGTTATATGACCACCCCAAGATTCAGGAGGTTTGGGAAACTGTAGATCCAGGCTGGCTGAACAATCTCTTCCTCAGTTACCAATCTAGTCTATGGAGGAGAATAGACTTTGGAACTTTTTAAAACATATCCTTTGGCATTAAGTTTGCAATGCTTTAGGGAATGCTCAGTTTACCAGATCTAGATAGTATAGCATACCATTAAACAATGTTGACTTTCTTAAATGATAGTATATTTTCCATTTTCTTTGCTAAATTTGTTTTCTACTTCCTTTTCCTTGGGCGGGTATTATTTCATTATTTACTTTTTGAGTAGAATCACTTAGTTTATGTATAAAATATTAAATGCCCATAAGAGAAATTGTTTTTAGGCACACAAGTTGTTTCTTAGGGCCTTTAATTTCTTTGCCTAAATCATGTATGTTTTTGTGCAGTGATGGTTATAACTTTTTAAAAGGTATATTTTCAGTTCAGTTCAAATTATTGTATTAAATGTATATATTATCATGTGATGGTACTGTGGAAAATTCAGAGGTAAAGTTCTTGCCTTTAATGATTTCTAAGTCTCTGTGAGTAGTAGGGTTGGGATAAAAGTGAGGTGAAAGTAACCATGTTCTCCTATACTAGATTACAGGTTCTCTGAGGGTGGGGACTCTTGTATACCTGGCATCTAATATTTACCATATTAACTAATTTGTAAGAGCTGCTCTTTGAATATTTTTTTACTGTGTGATTTGAACTGAATAAAACCAATGTATTGTAAGTGCCATAAGAGAATCACAAGCACAATGCTGTAAAGAGTTAAAGGAAGGAGAGATTAAGTTCTTTGGAGACGTCTTGAAGTATTCTAATGGGTTTTAATAGGTAGAGATTTTAGGAGGATTTGCCATGCTAAGCACCAGGAAAAATTCATGAAGATAGGAGTATAGGGTATGTTTGTGTGATACTGAAATTTATAGTTTGTTTCAAAGATGAATATGTAGGAGTGTAAGCTGAAATAAGACTAATGTTATGTTGGACCTGTATTAAGGAAAGGCCTTGATTGCTTGAATGAAAAATTTGGACTTATTATTACTTATAAGCCAAAAGAATCTGTCTAAGCTTTTCATTAACTAAAGCTACAGTCTATGAATATAAAACTGATAATCCAGTATACCATTAGAAAAAAGAAAGCAGAAAGTGAAATGATCTGTAAGGGGGGTTATTTCATAGTCTAAGAGTAATGACATGAACCTGTACTATTTGGTTCGCAGAAATTAAAGGTATATAAATTAGAACCATAAGGACTTGACAATAATTTAAAAGTGACTCCTAGGCTTTCAGCCTGGAAAATCGAGGAGAACAGTGGCATTGTTATTAGAAAGAGGGCTGTTATAAGTAAGTACAACTTACTGTGAGGATAACTTTTGAGCTAGTTTTAGACAATTTGTGTCTTAGTTATTGTTAGGAATTCCATTGAGAGATTTTTTATTTTTAGCAACCTGTTGAAAGTGTGGATCCAACCCTTGGGAAGGAATTTTCCCCTTTATATATAAATATTTAGTGTCATAGTTAGAGGAAAGATTTTAAACAGTGAGAATTTTTAGAACAAGATATTTGCTGATATTATTAATGGGGTGAGAGGAAGAGCATATTTCACTAAAAGAGATGAAAAAACTGTTCAGAGAAGTAGAGAGAGAAGTATAACAGTATCTTATGAATTGACAAAAGAAGAGTTTCAAGAAGCAAAAGGTGGTTAGTATGAAATGTTAAAAAAAAACATGAGGTTTGTGAAAAAATACCAAATTCATCAAGTTTTTAGTGAGTTTAGAAAGCAACACTAGTCGAATGGTATATGACATTTTAAGAGATCACTGAATTCTAGCAAAGTAATGGAAACAATTGAGGAAATTTAACAGTGCAGAGAAAAATTTTTGCATTTAAAATATGTTAAGCACAATATTTGAAAGTAATAAAGAAGGAAATTAAAATACGCAATACAAGAAGACTTAATTGAGTTAACATAATTCTAGATGAAGGTAGAGACCATGGTATCAAGAAATAACAAGATTTAATACATTTATTCTAACTTTTTCATCATTTTAGTCATTCAGGTTATATCTTAATTTTCTTTTTAAACCGTTATCTTTCCTCCAGCATCCTTTCAATTAATTTGTTATATCTTTGTTCATCCTTTAACATTGCATGTTTAGATGAATCTATTGTATATAATATTTGGTTGGACTTTGTGTTTTGACTCATTCTATATGTCTTTACCTTTTTAAAGGTAAGTTTATTCCATTTGCACTTCTTAATATACTTATTTGGTCTTTCTTCTATGACTTTGTATTTTCTGCTTTTAATATTTTCTTTGTTTTTTAAATTCACCACGTCTTTTCTTCATTTGTGTGTGTGTGTGTATGTACGTGTGTATACATACCTTCTCATGTTGATAATTCAGAAGGTTTAGGGTCTTTATCAATTCTTCTAGTGATTTAGTGTATTATTTTATATATAATATTTAATACTATGCTTCTTAATTCTAACATATTCTGAAAAATCTAGATAGTATGTCTTAAATGCACAGTGTAAAAAATGAGAAAAATGTTGAGAAATATTTCTTTCTCCTGCATTTTAAAGTAAACTTACAGAAGACATACTTTCCCGTTCTTAGCATTGTTTGTTTTTTTAATACTGTCAAGATTTCTAATGCTTATGTTCCGTAACTATTTTGTCTATTATTTTCTAGTATAAATTCGATAGGAAAATACATTGTGATATATTAGTTTTTCTCTTGCTGTATAACAGATTAGAGCCTTAAAAGAACACACACATTTATGAAGTTGCTGTGGGTTAGGAGTCTGGGCATAGCTTAGGTGGGTCTTCTGCTCATTATCTCATAAGGTTGTAATTGAGGTTTGAATTGGGTTATGCTTTCATCTGGAGGTTTAATTTGGGAAGAATCTGCTTCCAAGCTTATTCAGGTTGTTGGCAGAGTCCAAGTCTTTGCAATTTTAAGACTGAAGTCCTAAATAGGATCAAGATCTCTATTAGGGTTCTCCAGAGAAACAGAACTACATGTGTTTTATGTGTGTGTGTGTCTGTGTGTGTGTGTGTAGATGTAGATAGCTATCTATATAGATAGACAGCTAGATAAAGGTAGAGGGAGAGAGAGACAGAGAAATTGAGGGATTAATTTTAAGGCATTGGTTCATGTAATTGTGGGCTGGCAAATCTGAATTTTGCATAAAAGACTGGCAGGCTGGACACCCAGGGAAGTGCTGATTTTGCAGCTGAATCAAAAAGTATTCTGGAGGCAGAATTTCTTCTCCCTCAGAAGATTAGCCCTTTTTCTTAGGGCCTTCAGTTGATTGGATGAGGCTCACCTACATTATGGAGGAGTAATCTCCTTTACTCAAAGTTCACAGACTTGAATGTTAATCACATCTACAAAACACGTTCAGAGCAATGTCTAGACTGGTCTTTGTTCGTAAGCTGGATATGATGGGTACAGTGGTTTAGCCAAGTTGACTCATAAAATTAACCAAATGAGTAAAAAGTCCTGAGGTAAACAGGCCTTTAGTGTGAGGGTTTATATTTACCTGGCTAGGGGTCAGGTTATAATTAATGTTTGCTGTGGCTTTATGTGTCAGAGGCTAAACTTTAGCGTCCTTTTTCATTTGGGTTTCTCAAGAGACTTCTTAAATATCCTCTGAAACACAGTTCTTTCAGTTGTATTCCCTTGTTATTATATGGAAGCCCTGGTGATGGGGGAGGGGAAATATTTTATAGTCATGATTAGGTCTCATTCTTTAAGTGAACTTGTGCCCCTAGGCTTTAACCTTCACAAGTGCTTCTCGGTTTTTTCTCCCTTGGAAATTTAAGACTAGAGGGTGTTGGAGTTGGATGTTTTATGTCCTCCAAGTTGGTTAGTCTTTGGTAAAATCCCAGTAGGCTCTGGTAAAATAGTTTCTCTTGAGGGCAGGCCTTGTTAAGAAATGAACACTTAGAGCATATTTTACAATGTGTAAGTCCGTCAGTGGTCCGCCGCGCCCGCCCCCCCCCCCCCCCCCGCTCCCCAGCCAGGAAGCAGGAAGGGATTTTTTTCTCTGATTTTCACCGTGACAACCTGACAGGGCTTCTTTATGTAAAACTTATGAAGATGTGGGAACTCCTTTAAGACTGACCCTCATGGACATTTTAATTCTGAAACTTGTCCACACTGATCTTCCAGTAGTTCATTAATTGCAGATTTGATTTTCCCACCCTGGTACTGGTTACTATGGAGTTTGCTTGCTTCTGGGTTTCTGCTCTGGTAAATTGTGATTCTCTGTATCTGCCTGTCTTTCTAGTTTTGGGAATAGCAGTTTGCCTTATGACATCGGTTTTCTGATGATTCTAAGAAAAATTGTTTTCAGTTTGTTCAGATTTTTTTAATGTTGTGTGAACAGGAGAGACAACTTTCAAGTTCCTATATTCTAGACCTGAAAACAGAAGTCCCTCCACTGTGTCCCTTCTTTCTTGTTCCACTGAGTATTGTTAAATAGCTCTTACTTTTCCAAACTTACAGCCTATGGGATAGAGTAACAATTAAGAAAGACAACTCCTTTAGTTGATTTAAGTCTTCACTATGTATCTAGTCAAATTACTAGAAAGTTACACACAATTATTTTAGCTAAATGCAGAGAAATTTTCATAGAACAGTCTTACAATATGTTTTATTGATCATAATGTGAAAAAATTGCTGTATAACTTCTTTTGCTAAGACTAGTCTTTAGCTTTGTCATTTTCAGTCATAAAATAAATCATGTAATAAATTCTCCTTCAAGTGTTGCCCTAGATAACATGACTCTGCTAATAACCTAGGATATTGTATTTAATTAAATGATGATTTTTCAGATTTTTCAACATTATATTTCCCTTTTTCCTTAACTCCTAGGAAGCTCAGATATAAGTTTTTGTTCTCAGTTAGACTTAATTTTCTTACCCCTTCCCCTTTCTCCATTTACCATTGTTTTAGTTGTTGTGGTTTCATTACTTCTCTGTTTTTTATTAAAACTTTCATATCCATTTGAAAGTAGGTCATAAATAATATATTAACTATGCTCAAGTATTGCCTGATAGAGTTTTAAGTCTTATATGCTACTGCCATCACACCTCCCTTTTCTTTCTGCTTCATTCTCTTCTTACTCTATAGATATCTTTTGACCATGATTTGAATTATTCATTCCATGGCTTAGCCATAATAAATTATTTGTTCTAGACATACTTTCTCTTGTCACCGTGTGTGCTTTATGGTTCCTCTGAGTTCTATTTGCTATTTTAGTATTAACTCAAGCCAGACCATTAAGAATGTACTCTACTCTATCCAGAAAAGTTTGTTGAAAGCTTTCATGAAACTAAATTTAGGACTTGGAGGGTATTATGCTTAGTGAAATAAGTCAAATAGGGAAAGACAAATACTGTATGATATCACTTATATGTGGAATCTAAAAAAATAAAATAAAATAATGAATATAACAAAAAAGGAACAGACTCATAGATACAGAGAACAAACTAGTGGCTACCAGTGTGGAGAGGAAAGGGGGAGAGGGACAAGATAGAGATAGGGGCTTAAGAGGTGTAAACTACTATATATATAATAAGCTACAAGAATATATTGTACAGCACAGGGAATGTAGCCAATATTTTATAATAACTATGAATTGGAATATAACCTTTAAAAATTGTGAATCATTATGTTGTACACCTGAAACTTATGTAATATTATAAATCAACTATACCTCAATAAAAAGGAAAAAAAATGAGTTGTAACCGTATATATAGATGCTTTTTATAGAAACTAGGTCATTGAGGGTAGATTTTATTAGGAAAATATTTTGAATTATACTAAATTTAACAAATCTTTGAGAGTTTAATTTATCCATCCTCTTCCATTGGGAGTTCATCTTTAACTTATTACTTTAATGATTATGATACATAATGTCAAATTTATCGAACTAATTATCAGAATATGATAGTTTTGGTTAACTAACTTCATTGTATTATGTGCTTTTATTTAAAAATTAAGTCTATATTTGTCCTGTGTATTATTGAATTCACTCAAATACTAACATTTTACTTATTAAATAATTTTCATGAAAGGGCTTGCTATTGGTGTTGTTTATATTGTCAATTCCTATTAAGTTTAGCTCACATTAATGGGCAGACCCTTCTAAAACTTAAATCATTTGGTTCAATGGTCTTGCCTTCCTAAAGTCTGAATTATCTCCAGAATAGATGAGGATGCTCAATTTTTCAAAGGATAGGCCTGTAGATATTTTACAAATAGTCTTAGTGTTCATATGATTGACTTTTATCATTCAGTGTCAATCTCATTTGTAAACATTTACTATAATCTAGTTTGGAAGACAGTACATAGAGACATACTTAGCAAGACTAGGTAATAATGTTAATATCAAATGAATAATGTAGGCATGTAATACAGACATTTAGAAATAGCAAAAACTACTCTTAATAGTTGGGAAGTCTTCATGGAAGAGGTGGAAATTGAATCTTGAAGGAGGCTAAGTCTTAGATGAGAATAGAAAAATGGGGTAGAAATTGTGGATGGGCCATATTTATGCACCTGTTTTTATGCTGTTTGACTGATGTCAGACATATTTTGATATGCCCTAATAATTAAAATAGGAAACAAAAACTATATTAAGGTACCATTTTTACCTCATGTGTGAAAAATTACCAATCCTGAGTGTCAAGCGTTGGTATAGATATGGAGCTATGAGAACTCTTGAAGTGTATATAGCCTGTGACTTAGCAGTGTCACCTCTAAATAGAAATAACGTAGAGCAATGTTTTATTACTATTATCCCCACACTGAAAAAAAATACATTTTACTTTATGACCCAGTATATACATACATGAAATAAAAATTTCAAATGGTATAGCTGTCCTGCCTAGGTATAAAAAGAGTTAAAAATATAACAAAGCATATATCAAATGTGAGTTTAATAATATTTAGATAGTAGAAACCCTAAATTAAGCAGTGCAAAAAAATTTATGAGATATTTGTTTCAGATATTAGTTGTAAAAAATGATAGGTTGACAAAAGTAGAATAAGTTTAGGAAAAGAGTTAATATCAGGACATGGATATCAGTTTTAGCATGCTAGTTTGAGGTGGCAGCAGATAATCCAAATGGAGGTATTGTATAGAAAATTGGAAATGTGGGATTGGTGATTAGGAAAGAGTCAGGGCTGGATTATGTATTAGGTAGTCTTTCACACAGATGAGACCAGAAGCCAAGAGAGTGGGTAAATTTTCTGTGGAAAATGCTATAAAGATTTGAGAAGAGGGAAACAAAGAATTGAGTCATTGGTACATCCCCTCAATTGGAGATACCTAAAAGATGATCTCTGACAGGTGAGAAAAACGCTCAGTTAAAAATTTTGGCAGTTTTGGTATTTTGAATTTTCTTTCTCAGAGCAAGATATTTTTTGTACCAAAACAAACTTACCATTTTTCATTCTTTAAAATTGTTTATACTTTCACAAAAGTGTAATTGTATCTCTAAAAAATGTTTTCTTTAAAATGATACTTAAATAAGTGGGTAATTCTTATTTTAGCTACATGTGCATTTTCTTTAATTAGACTATTTTGTAAAGTTTTGGTTTTTTTTTCTTATTACACACCTAAATCTGAAAAGTTTGTTTTCTGAATGTGGCTTAGTATTTGGTATCCAGTTTTCATGTGTTCTTCATCTTAAACTACTTGCACATTTCACTTGAAAATCTATGGGCATATCACAGGAAATGAGAAATGGGATAATAGACATTATTATGAAACCTAGTTATTCTAATATTATCAATCAAAATCTAAAATTTTCTACATAAAATAATTATTCTTAGAAATGCCAGCTCACCAATAATCTTGATTTTTTTTTCCATAGAGTGAATCAAGACTAAAACAGGAAATAAATGACCTTGTAAAACGGAAGATTACAGTAGATGAAGAAAATGCTTTCTTAAGGAAAGAATTCAGTGACTTGCAGAAGAAATTTAAAGATAAAAGTCAAGACGTTAAGGTGTGTTGACTTACACATAGTTTTATAGCACTATTTCTTTGAAGTCCTACTTTAAGCTTTGTCAGCCTTTGTGGCCCAGAAAGTGACAAGCTTGGAGGAAAAATTGCCTTAGGCCCTGCTGTACCATACAGTTTTCTCACATGCAGAAACTCCGAGAAAGATGCTTTAAAGCTAAGACTCCAAGCTTTATAACTTTCAGATAAATAGTTAATGATGGAAATTGAGCTAAGAAAGTAGGAGTGTGAATATGTGGCTTCTTGTAATTAGATTCTGATGGGACTGGCATTATTAATTGATAAAACCCAGGTCTGTGAGGATATGTCTGTGTGGGTCTCAAAAATAGCTGGGGACAGCATCAAAGGCAGCTTGATCAATTAATGGGCTCTTTGCAAATTTGTACTCATCAAAGCTGTCATCCAGTGAAAAAATATGACCCATCCACCTGCATGAAAATAGGCCAATAAAAGTATACAGGTGACCTTGGCCGTCAAATACAGAAGAAGCTGCTGTGAGTATAAAACTGCACAGTTTATATTTGCTGATTAGTTCTCACCTTTTTGTGGTTTTGTTTTGTTTATCGGCCCTTGTGGTACTGTTCTACAGGACACTAAGGAGTGTGTACAGAATAAGGAAGAGCAAAACAGACTGGTTATAAAAAATCTGAAGGAGGAAAATGAGAAATTAAGCACCCACTGCGCTGACTTGCTAAATGACCTGGAGAAACTGAGGAAGCAGGAAGCACATTGGAGAAAAGAAAAATCTAACACTGATGCAAAAATAAAGGTATGCAATGAAAATGGAATCCATGCTGTTATTTTGGATCTGTCTTCTTGTAGAAAGTTAATTACATGTTAGTTTCCTTAGAAAACAAGTTATATATTCACATCTACCAGTGGGGACTAGCATTAATTTATATTCCTTCACTTAAGACCCACAGCTTTTTAAAAATTGATGTTGCAAAGCAGGAAACTGACTTCAAATACTTAGCTAAAATGTAATCATTAAAAAATAAAGGCTATTGCATTTTGAAATAAAACATGTTTTGAAAAAACATATTTAGAATTATGAATTTTGGCCTTTTTTCAGTTAGGGCTTCAATTTATAGATATAGCTGGAGTTCTTTGCAAGATAGTTTGAAGACTGTATTTTCCAGGTCCTTTAAAAAATAAAATGTGAAAAAGCATGAAACAGTTAAAAAATACTCAAATATGTTTCAAAGATGATGCTTTTTCTTTGGCTTATGAGGGCCTTATTCATCTTAAAATTTTATTTTTATAGAAGATAAAAGGTGTAATTAATCTTTATGATATTCTTATGTCCTTTTTGTTCAGTATTTTTCAAACTAATATTTTTTGTGGCTTTCTCTTCATTTTGAGGGTGCTTTTGTTCATTTTTTTCCCATTGAATTTCAGATTTCTCTTTTACCATGGATTTTGTTGAAGACTCAAAACAAATTTTAGTGCTGGTAAATAAGATAGTCCCTTTATGTATGCATGCTTAAAACGATATATAACATAAGTACACAAACATATATACCTATTAAAATATAGGAAGTATGATGGCTATGTGTCTATACATGTTTTTGTGAGTATATGTGTATGTGCATGATAATTTAAGTCATACAAGAAAGGATATGTCTTTCTGAGTGTGTGAATCAGTTCATTGCAGATATTTAAGGAAATACATTAAATCTGTTAGTTAAGCACACTCAGGGAATTACTGAGCCATTGAGAGACTTAAATTCTGGCACATTTGTTTTCTTAATTTTTATCAGTTTCTGCTTCCTCACAACTTTTAAGCAGTTTGGTAGTGTGATAAGGGCAATTGGTATTTCCTTGTACTAATTCACAGCTACATGATTTTTTATGATAATTTTTATTTCCTTAAATGCCATTCAAATATTCCATTCTGTGATTTTTAGTTCTGTGGCTTTTTTCTATTGTGGTTTTTTTCTTTTCTTATTAATTTGTAAGCATTCTTTATTCTGGATGGTCGTACTTTGTTATATATATTACAAATACCTTCTGTTCTGTGAATCTTGAATAAGATGAATTAGACTTTCAAAAATTTGTGTGTTTTTAGAGTCACTTTGATTATTTTCTTCTCTAATGTTTTAGGAGTCATATTCTAGTTTTTCCTATTCTAAAATATTTAACCTATTTAGAATTCATTTTTGGGCGTAGCATTCCACACTATATACTCAATAGTTTATTGATTTATAATGTAGACTCTCTCACATCTCCAAGTTTCCATGTGTGTATAGGTTTGTTTCTAGATTTCCTATTATTTTCATGGTTTTAGGTACTGTAGTTTTATAATTTGACTTAATATTTGGTAGGGTAATCTATTTGTTTATTCTTCTTTTTGTAAGTCATACGCCCTCTATGTGCTCTTCACTATCCTATATTATTTAAGGATGATTTCACTAGTTTTATGGAAAAATTCTATTAGAAAGCAGATTGGTACCTCACCTAATTCATGAATTACTTTTGGAAGAATTATGATCCTACTATTTATGAATGTTGAAGAAAGTTTTGTAACTTTCTTAAAATGGTTTTGTTCACTTTTATTAGATTTACTCCTAGCTACTAATATTATTGTAAAAATACTGTGCTATGGTACATAATATTTTAAATTATATTTTAATTAATTATTTGTGGAATACAGTAACGTTCCTAATTTATCTTGAGCTTCTTTTCAATAATTTTTCTCAAATGTCTTATTAGTTCTAAAAATGTATATGTTTTCTATATTTCTCTAAGTTATATAATTACATTGTCAATAAGAAAAGTTTGTGTTGTTCTTTTCTTTTGGCATGTAATTCACACACCGTACATTTACTCCATTAAAAGTGTACAGACCAGTAGGCTTTAGTTTATAAGTTGTGCAACTATTACCATAATTACTTTTAGAATGTTTTCATCATCTTGAAAAGAAGACCTGTAACCTTTAATGATTGCTCCTCATTTACCCTTAGTTTTGCCGCCTGATATAACCACGAATAGGCTTTCTCTCTAAACAGATTTATCTATTCTAAAGATTTCAGAGTATATGAAATTATCGTCATAGCTTTTTGTGACTGTCTTCTTCCACTTAGAATAGTTTTCAGGGCTTATTAATGTTGTAGCATGTATCAGTACTTTATTTTTATAGTTGAATAAAGTTTCATTATATAGATATCATACATTTTATTTATCACAAGTAAATGGAATTTGTTTTATGAGTAATGCTGCTACAAACATTTGTGTATAACATTTTGTATATACGTACATATATTTTCATTTCTCATAGGTATATACAAAGGAGTGAGATTTCTGAGTCATATGATAATTCTGTTTTTAAGTCTTTGAAGAACTGTCAGACTGTTTTCAAAAGCAGCTGCACCATTTTACTTAACAAACACCAGTGTCTGAGGGTTCTGATTTCTCTTTGTCCTTGTCAACACTTGTTATTGTCTGTCTTTTTGATTATAAACATCTGTGTTGGATGGGAGTGAAATCTCATTGTGGTTTTGATTTGCATTTCCCTGATGGCTAATGATTTGATAATCTTTTTATATGTTAACTGGCCATGTGCATATCTTTGAAGAAATGTGTATTCATTTCTTTTGTATATATTTTGGATAGAAGTCTCTTTTCAATTATATAATTTGAACTTTTCTTCAATTCTGAGTGTTTTTTATTTCTTAATGGTGTTATTTGAAACACAAAACTTTAAAATTTTGATATTTAATATATCTACTTTATCTTTTGTTGCCCATGCTTTTGGGCGTTCTCTGATGCATCTCACATATGCGTTTGAGCCTAATCCACCATTATGGAAATAGACACCTGTGTTTTCTTCTAAGAATTTTATTTCTTAAATTTAGTTATTTGATCCATTTTGAGATTTTTTTTTTGAGATTTTTTTTTGAATATGGTATTTACTAGGACTCCACCTTCATTCCTTTGCATTTGTTATTCAGTTGTCCCAACGGCATTTGTTGAAAAAGACTACTTTTCCCCTACTCAATTTGTCCTAGTATGTTTATTGAAAATCAATTGACATAGACATAAGGGTTTATTTCTGAATGTCAATTTGGTTCCTTTGGTCCAAAGATCTTCAAGTCTGTGCCACACTGTATTGATTATTGTAGATTTGTAGTAAGTTTTGCAATTGGGATGTGTGTGTCCCCCAGATTTCTTCTTCTTTTTTAGAGTTGGCTATTCTGTCTCTTGCATTTCCATATGAATTTTAGAATCAGCTTTTCCACTTTTTGCAAAACAAGCAAGCATGGATTATTTTTGATAGAGATAGTATTGAATCAGAAGATCAATTTTACTAGTGTTATCATCTTAACAGTATTATATCTCTGATCCATCAACACGTGATGTTTCATTTATTTAGGAACTTCTTTAATTTCTTTCAATAGTGTGTTATAGTTTCCAGCCTAAAACTTTACACTTCTTTGGGTACATGTATTTCTAAATATTCAGTTATTTTTTGTTAGTTTTATGGAAATTGTTTCTTAATTTCCTTTTTGGGTGGTTCATGTCTAATGTACAGGTACACAATGAGTTTTGGTATATTAATCTTGTATCTTGCAACCTTGCTAGTAGCTTGATTCCTTAAGATTTTCTATATATAAGATTGTGTTATCTATAAGTAGAGATGATTTTCTTCCTTTCCAATATGGATGCGTTTATCTCATTTTATTGCCTGTTGCCTTGACTGCAACCTTTAGTATGTAGTTAAATAGAAAAGGAGGGAGTGGACAGCTATGTCTTCTTCCTGATCTCAGGAGGAAAGATTTCAGTCTTTCACCCTTAGGTATGACATTAGCTCTGAGTTTTTTGTTGGTGTACTTATCAGTTTGAGGAAGTTTCTTCTATTCCTAGTTAAGTGTTTTTTTTTTCTTTTTATCATGGAAGGGTGTTAGATTTTGCCAAATGCTTCTTCTGTATCTATCTGAAGGTTTTTGTCCTTCATTCTGTTGGTACAGTGTATTACATTACTTGGCTTTTGGATGCTAAACCAAGTTTATGCTGCTGGGATATCTTTATCTCACTTTGGTGTCAGTATAGTTCTAGCCTTCCAGAATGAGTTTGGAAGTGTTCCCTCCATTATATGTTTTTTAGAAAAATTTGAAAAGGATTGATGTTAATTCTTTTAAAATGTTTGGTAGAATTCACCTGTGAAACCATCTGGTCCTGGAATTTTCTCTGTTGAAAATTTTGATAACTGCTGTTAATTTTTTTACTTTTATAGGTTTGCTGAGATTTTCTGTTTGTTCTTCAGCCAGTTTAAGTAATTTGTGTTCCTAGGAATTTGTCCTTTTCATCTGGGTTATCTAATTTGTTGATGAACATTTGATAATAGTACTCTCTAGTAATCTTTTTTATTTATGTATGTCTTTATTTTAATTTCTGATTTTAGTTATTTCCATTCTTTTGTTCTTTTGTCAGTCTAGCTAAAAGTTATTTTTGTTACTCTCTAAAAAGGCAGCTTGGCATTAGTAGATTCTATTGTTTTGTTATGCCTTTAAAAATATTTTTACAATAATCTTTATTATTTCCTTCCTTCTCTCTTTGGATTCACTTTGGGTATTCTTTTTCTATTTCTTTAAGGTATAAAATTACATTATTGATTTGAGATATGTCATCTTTTTTAGTGTAGGCATTTATGACAGTAAGTTTCCCTCTGAACACTGCCTTTTGCTGCATCCTGTAAGTTTTGGCATGTTGTGTTTTTGTTTTAATTTTCTCTGAATATTTTTAATTCTCTTATGATCTCTTCTTTGATCT